TTAGTCAAACTCTCTTCAATATACCAAAAATGAGCCAATGCACATGGACAGAGCTCAAGCATATTTATCATAATCACCGTACCTACCCCATTATATATTACTAGAAGAATGCAATTGTGCTTTATATGTAAAAGAACCAGGATTTCTGTATTGTTAACCAAAGTAAACCGAAGTACTAGGGTGTACATACCTTCTCCAAGTAGCTGTTCAAACCGAGCCACAATGTGCTTTCCGTAAGTGTATTTCTTCAAAGCATGAGCATGAAGTCTTACGCGAGAAAGTAACATTGCTCGCTGATTTTCAGAACAGATCTCAAGAACTTTCTGGACCACATAATTTGCAAATTGGTCTTTCATCATTGTCTACAGTGAAATTAAGAGTGGTGTAGTAAGCAAGAGTAAAAACCACGAAGTCATGGGTTACACCAGTTATAAATGAACCAATTAGTTATAGCATAATCACATAATATGTAATGCTCAAGGACTTCCTGCCATTGTAATAATTTGGAAGACCTTAACAATACCAAGTAAGGTGTAATAATCATCATAAATTGAAGGAAAGAATCTTAGGGTAGTTTTAGAGTCTCAAAACCAACTACAAAACGAACCTTTTAAGACTTTAGATCAGTCACATAAAGCAGCAAATCAATAGCCATAAAAGCTCTCTGACGTAGTTATTCTGTCAGTCCTAGATACCACATAATAAACTAGTAATGGGAACCTATGTACCACTTTATACCCTAACTCTTGCTGACATGGAGACAGGCATTTTAAGCAGCAGCATATATGTGGACAAAATAAAATGGAAGTGCACTGATTACTCATGAATGAGCTAAATTTGGATGATACTATGATTATACTTATTTTAAAATTTGAGAAATAAACAATAAGATGGCCCATTTACCTGAAAGAAAAAGGAATAATCACAGGACAAAAAAAGGATTACAAGGAGACTTACATTTATGGGTATAAGTGTTTCCAGGAAGACATTTGCAATGTTTAAGTTGAGATACATCTATTGACAATGCTAACTAGCAAAAGATTTGGGTAATTACAATTGAATATTCAATTCAAACTATCCAGGCATAGGGATGAATTAATCAAGTGGATCTTGAAAATAAAATGCTTGATAATTCAGTTCAACAATTTCCCTCACCTTTTGAGGATAATGTATTATTTCTGTACAATGGAACAACTAAGGTGTGTGCTGGGTATAAGGTTAGAAAACAATAAATCACGTGCAGCCTCTACTTAAAAAGTTGTGCAATTTCTACCCCTGCCTAATAGCTTTACGCAATTTATTTTTTAATTTGGTATAGCCTTTGAACAAACTCAAAACTAGATCCGATATTGCACGACATATATTGTTTATGTCGCCACCACCAGATAATCTATATCGACCATTACTAATAAACTCTCACCTTTAATAGTTCATCAAAGGAGGAGGAGGAGGAGCACACACCTGTCCAACAGCAGGAAGTGGATGATCAAAACATGCATCAGCATGAGGAGGAACGTGTATACCAAAAACCTGTACGACAGGTTATATATCGTCGTTGTGTAACAGAGAATTACCTTGCTAGACTCAGACGCAACAAACGTAGCTCATAGTCACATATGATGGATAGTGATCTACTTTACAATTTTAATTTCTTATACTTTAGAATTTTAATTTCATGTATTTTAAAATTTAAATTTTATGTAGTTTATAATTTAAATTATTTATCTTTTAAAATATTATTTTTACATTGATATTATTTAATTATTATATAAAAATATTAATAAATTTAATTAAAATTATATTTTTTTTCAAATAAAGATATGCGTCGCAGAAGTCGATTATAATTGAATTCAATTTAATAGAGAAGTAGATTATAATAGACTTCTATATATTTCAATTCAGGATATTTAAGTATAATTTAAAAAAAAAACATATATGTAATTTATTATTTAAAATATTTTATTTTTATAAAAAACCTGACAAATAGAGACTTTACGAGGATAGAATAAAATATCTATTAAAATAGATATCGTGATAAATAATTAGGGCAAATTTATTATAATATTGTAAATTAAAAAATAATTTATTATTTTATAGCAAATCTGAAACAATTTCTCAATTTGTGATTTTTTTGCCACGTAGATCAATTTTTCGCTATAACGGCTGGCGAAAGTAATTAATTTTTGAATTTTTTAATATCTATTTCGTCACAAAAAATACAAAATATGACTTCTTAGAGCGGTTAGTTTAAAACCGCTCTCATAACTCTATTTTAGAGAGCGATTCCTTATGAACTGCTCTGAAATTTCAATATTAGAGAGCTGTTTTATTTGAACCGTTCTCAAAAGTCATGTTAGTCATGTTAGTTTTGATGGATCTTCTGGCCCGGGATTAATAACCCTACTTTGTTGTGAAGATGATGCCATCTATACAATAATAAAAAATATTAGTAAAAAAATTTCATTCAATAATAATAATAATAATAATAATAATAATAATAATTTATATTTTACTAACATATTAATAATACATATTTTATAAAGGTCAAACAAATTTTCTAACAAATCATTATCACATTGTAATGACATCATATTATATTCATTACAATATATTATAAATGCAAAAATCAGGTGTATATAAACAAAATTAAATAAATAAATTCTTTTTAAATATACTAACCTATATTCTATACATATTATAACTAAAGATATATAAATTTTTAATTATTCTAAATACAAATCTACATAAATTTTACATATAAATTTTATATAAATACAAAACTCTAATTATTAGCATAAAATTAAATTACATTTTAATTTTTTCATATTTCCAATTTAAATCTACATAAATTACATTTAATTTATAATTATATAAATACTATTACGTTTTTTAAAGTAAAAAATATTATTATTCACATACAAATTTTATTTAAATACAAAACTCTACTTACTGCATAAAATTAAATTACATTTTTATTTTTTTATATTTCTAATTTAAATCTACATAAATTTTATATAAATACAAAACTCTAATTACTAGCAAAAAGTTTAATTATATTTTTATTTTTTCATTTTTCTAATTTAAATTTACATATATTACATTTAGTTTATAATCATATAAATAATATTACATTTTTAAAAGTAAAAAATTTTATTATTTACATACAAATTTTATACATACATTTCATATAAATTATGATTACTGCATTTAAAATTTTACAATTTTAAAATTTTACTTCATTATAGGTGTAAAAATTATTTATTACAATCAAACTAAGTATAAATTATTATATTTAGTTTTATATAATTATTTTATTTAACTCAATTTTTAGTTTTATATAATTTTATTTAACTCAAGTAAACTATATTTAGTTTTATATAATTACAATGTCTGAACGGTTTCGCTAACTGCAGGGCGAAATAAACTTTCGCCAGTAGCAATACGAATCATCTCAGATATTGCCATGTGTATCAAAATCTCCTCAGCCGTCCATTTTAAATCTAAGAGAGCGGTTCCGGCAGGACCGCTCTCTAATATGTACTTCGGAGAGCGGTTCATATGGAACCGCTTACTAACATGACTTTTGAGAGTAGTTCAAATGGAACTGCTCTTTAATATTGAAATTTCAGAGCGGTTCATAAGGAACCACTCTCTAAAATTAATACTAAAAGCAGTTCATAAGGAACCGCTCTAAGAAGTCATATTTCGTACTTTTTGTGGCGAAATAGATATTAAAAATTCAAAAATTAATTACTTTCGCCAGCTGTTATGGCAAAAAATTGATCCACGTGGCAAAAAAACCCAGATTAAGAAATTGTTTCAGATTTACTATAAAATAATAAATTATTTTTTAATTTATAATATTATAATAAATTTGCCCAGAATGTGTGTGGAGCAATAATTAGTGGTTATATTAAGAATCATATATTCAGTGTAATCGTACATGAATTGATTATAATAAAGAGCAGTGATAATACAAGTCAATACAATCCTTTTTATCGAATGCCATCAACTAGTGTCAATATTTGCGGTTATGCATGTATTGCGAGATTGGATTGTTGGGTTTCACAACGTGCAGGTCCAGAAGGGAATAGTGCAACTTATCGCTTAGCAAGTTGTATTCAACAGTTTATTGTTCAGTCCTCACGATATTTTAAGTCCTAATAAAGATTAGTTGATACTTAAGAATAGTTATGCATATTGAAACAACTGCTTCACCTGTTTGCATTATTTTTCAGCTATAGTATATGTATTAAGCTGGATATATATATAACTCTAAAAATTCTTATATTAAATTTAAATTTTTTATTTAATTTATATTTGATAAATTATAATTTATTATTTCATTAACTGTCATTAAATATAAGTTAAATAAAAAATTTATATTTAATGTAAAAATTTTTAGACTTACGTTAATATAATAACATCCTTCCCATATATTATGCAATATTGCACCACGTCAAAAAAAGAAAAGGACCAAATATTTAGTTGGCCATTGGGTCGAATTGATTAAATCCATAGCATAGTTCTTGTTCGCTCGGCATGGAGAATTTCCTACAGAAGTTGGCAGAGACTTGGGGAAATTTTCTTATCCATGATTACTGCTCAACGATACTACAGTAATTTATTGCTCAAGTCGAGCAGATGAAAGTTCGACTCTGGGATATGGATTGGTTTAAATGGAAATTTTGTCGGAGTTGTTAAACAATTTTTTGAAAGGATAATGATGACCGTACACCTTATTTTTAAGGTGTAAGACGGAAAAAAGAGAAAAATAGAAAGAAAAGGAAAAGAAAAAGCTAGTCTTCAAAGCTCCTTCCTAAGGGTTTTTTTTTTCTTTCTTTCATTAACTAATTATGTGAGCACGTGCGGATCATGAGCGCGACAAAAGGATGCCTCCAAGTCCAATATACCGTCATGCAAAACTTGGAGTTAGAACCTGACAAATATAAATACGCATGTCTATTACAAAACTTCACAAATGCAAAACTTGGAGCTAAATGGCTTCTAAGTCTTCTTCCTCTTCTCATTTGTCTTCAAAGCAAAAGACTCTTCTCATTCTCTTACTCTTCTCCACAAGCCTCACGCTCTTAGAACATACGGTGAAGCACAAAAGAGTCCCCATCTACACCAGCATGTTTGAGGTGGATAAAAGAAAGCCTGTTTGGTTTGATGTCATAGAAAAAAACATTGGTGGCAAGAGCATTAAAGTAGGTGTAGTTAATATTGATACAAGAGTGGACGGTGTTCTATATGAACAACTACATGCACTGCACCCACAAGTAGAGACGATATATTCCGTTGATTTTGATCATGCTGATGACAACTTGAAATGGAAAGACTTTTTCCCTGTGTGGATTGATGAAGATGAGAAATGGGGTCATCCAAAGTGCCATGATTTACCAATGCCAACGTGGGAGGAGTATCGAGATCTCAATGTGGTGGTGGCAAGAGTTCCATGTGGGATAAGGGATGTGTTCAGGTTGCAAGTTAATTTGGTGGTGGCTAATTTGGCTGTGGAGAGTGGATGGGTGAAGAAGTTGCATTCTTATGAAGCTGTGTATGTTGTGTTTATTGGGTCGTGTGGTCCCATGGTAGACATTTTCAAATGTGATGACCTTTTGTTGTATCAGCCAGGAGAGTTTTGGGTGTACAAGCCTGATTTAGTGAGCCTCAGACACAAAATGCTTATGCCAGTTGGTTCGTGCCAGATTGCTCCAGCCTATGCAGAAACGGGTACATTTTTTCTTTCCAATTAAGGAACGATATGATATCTAATTAAATTATTCTCGGTAATTATTTGATTTTATCACATTACAAAGAGGTGTAACTTTTCATTAAACAATTATTTAACTTTCAACGACATAATTTCACTCATTTTCTCGTCATTTGACCATAATGTAGGAGATAAAAGTATAATTAAAGGAATAAAGATACTCTTCTAGCAGGAAAGGATTGTGCTTCCTTTCATTTTCTCTATTATATATATTGTAAAGGTTGGTTTAATTCAAACATGGACCTAAATCAGAAATTATTTGTCACAAAAGCAACCAGTGAAGTGACATTTGGTCTGGTGTGCCCAAATAAATAAGAGGAATAAAAGAAATAAAAAAATTACCTATTTTGGTTATTATCGGTGCAGGTAAGAAGGTATGGAGTGCCTATATGTCACAATCACCAGCGACAATGAATTACAATTACACCATGCGGGTCCCAAGGTTAGCCTATGTGACTATTCTCCACTCTTCAGAAGCTTATGTGTGTGGTGCAATAGCTCTAGCACAAAGCATTCTTCAAACCTACAAAAGCATCCTTCAACATAACAACTACACCAGAGACCTACTCCTTCTTGCTGATGAATCAATTGGTCCCAAATCCACAAGAGGTCTAAAAGCTGCAGGGTGGAGGATCAAACGCATTAAACGTATCTTAAACCCCTTTGCCACAAAAGGTTCATATAACGAGTGGAACTATAGCAAGCTTCGAATATGGCAACTCACCATGTATGACAAAATCATCTTTATAGATGCTGATCTTCTAGTCCTAAAGAGCATTGATGATTTCTTCACTTACCCTCAATTATCTGCCGCACCTAATGACTTCACCTTGTTCAACTCTGGCTTGATGGTCATTGAGCCATCCATGTGCATGTTCGAGGACTTGATGAAGGAAACTTTAAAGGTGAAACCATATAATGGTGGTGACCAAGGTTTGGTCAACGAGGTATTCACATGGTGGCATAGGTTGCCAACAAAGCTGAACTACCTAAAGAGTTTTCAAGAGAGGCCAGAGAATGAGAAGGAGGAGGTTCCAGAGGACTTGTATGCTATACATTACTTGGGTTTGAAACCATGGATGTGTTATAGAGATTATGACTGCAATTGGGACATGCAAGAACTTCATGTTTTTGCTAGTGACTTGGTTCACCACAAATGGTGGCAGGTTCATGACACCATGCCCAAAGAGTTGCAATCCTATTGTGGGCTTACAAAAAGATTGGATAAAAGGATAATGCAACAGAGAAGAAAGGCAAAAAATGCTAATTTGTCTGATGGGCATTGGAAGATTGAGGTTAAGGATCCTAGAAGGAAACATTATGAGGATTTGAATTTCAATAGTGTATAACTAGAGGTTTCTTGCCAGAGGTTTGGCAATAGTACGTGGAGGGTGCATTTGAAAATAGCTTAATTAAGTATTTATTAATAAATTTTTATATAAAGGCTTGTATTATATAATTAATTATAAAATTTATTAAAATAAATTGAAAATTTTCATTAAAATTATGATAAGTTGTAGAGCTCTGGTCTGTCTATGAGATGTGATCTGTGATGACAGCACAATCAACAAATGGAATATATGTAATGTTAAACTGTGCATCAATTTTTTTTTCAATTTAAAATCAGTGCCCTTCCACCCAATGTTCAGGAAACCGGACCTAGTTTAAGTTTCAGTAGGTTCAACTGTTTGAATGAAATAATATTTTAAATAAATTATAAGTAATATATTAAATATTTTTTTAAATATAATACTATAACTACATAATACTCAAAGATAAAAGTTACGTACTATTTTTAAGTTTTAATATCAAAGTTATATATAAAAAATCTAAATATAATAAAATTTACCAAAATAACTCATTGCTAGCCATCACATCTAAAAAATAATAATTAAATATCATCAAAAGTTTAAGAAATTATAATATTTATTAATGTTGAATCCATCAAATGTCAATCGTCCACTCATGAATAGTAAAGTACTTGACTGAGAGATATATAGGATCGGGCTAAATTAACAACTCTCAATTTTTACTGATTTCAATAGTTTTGGACCAATTTTTAGAACATCCAATTTAATTGAACATTGGATTGGTTCACTGGTCCGACCGTACAGTCAAGTTTTTTGTGAACTATGCTTTCGCAGAGAAAGATATCAAAATATAACTGAAATAGGTAGAAGCAAATTGGATCTCTCTTGGTGTAGAAATAACTTGATTCCTTTGAATGTTTGAATCATTCTTAGAGCAACTTTAATTACCGATTCTTGATTCCTTGAAGAACAATACAATCGAATAATAAAATTCAAAGAAAAAAGTGAAAGAAGAATGAGATGGAAATTGACGCCACTCTCAAAAGAAGATAAGCCACATAATTTTCACTATGATGGAAGGATCTACTAATAAGAAGTAAACTCAAGTTCTCTACTTAGATCACTTGAAAGAAAAAGGAGTTTAACAAAACTCACTAGATTTCATAAAATCTGAAAAATAAACCAAAGTTACCAAAATACAAAAGGAGAGTGTCTTATATAGGCAACAAACTACGCTAGCTATTGGACTAAGCCTAACTATACAAGAAGGTAAAAGCCCAAAGGTACAAAATACACTATAAGACCTAAGAATCATGAATGATACAAGAGAAATGAGAATAAGTCTTCAAAGTGTGCCTTCTATGGGCTTGGGACCAAGGTGACTTCTTAGACCCACAAGCTTGCTTAGGGCTTCTTTGATCTTCTTAACCTTTGACCTAGTCATAAGGCTTTAAAGTCCCTCCAAAGCATCCTCCACTTGGCTCATGCTCTCTAAGCTAGTGAGACCCTCCCTCTTCTAAAGGATTTGCCCTCAAATCGAAATCATCATCATCCTCACGGTTACCTACAAAATAAGAAGAAATATCACATATATTGAAAGTATCATTCACTTCATACTCATCAGGTAAGTCTAGCTTTAAAAAGTTTGGAAAATCTAGGAGATGAGCTTGTGTGTGCCAATCTTTTAGATCTTGAAAGGCTTTTTATTACCTCAGTCCCCATGAGAAAATAACATTCTTTTTAACCAATTTATTTAGGAGATATGTCAAGGTGAAAAACTCTTTAAGTTCTATGAAAGGTTTTTCTTGCTTGGGCTCCAATTAAAAAACACATTCTTTTTCACCAAATCATTTAAAGGTGAGGCCAAAGTAGAAAAATCTTTCACAAACCTCCTATAGAAGCTAGCAAGCCTGTGGAAGCTTCTAATCTCTCCAACATTCTTAGGGATTGGCCAATCCTTGATAGCCTTCAACTTAGACTCATTCACATGTACCACTTTTAAGATGAATATTTGAGAATATAGTGGAACCACTAAGCTCATCTAACATATAATCTAGTTTAGGTATGGGGTGTCTATACTTAATGGTAATGTTATTGATGGCTCTACAATTAGTGCACATACGCTATGATCCATCCTAGGAACTAACAACACCGGAACAACACAAGGACTAAGACTTTCTCTAACCCACCCTTTGCTTAACAAGTCTATTAGTTGTTTCTCTATTTTCTTGCTTTCTTGAGGGTTACACTTATATGCAGGCCTATTGAGTAAGCTAGCACTTGGAATTAAGTCAATTTGGTGCTCTATCCCTTTTAAGGGTGGTATGCTGTGGGGGATGTACTTAGGGAATAAGTCCCTAAATTCCTCAAGTATAGAGTCTACCTCATTAATATAGGTGGAAACCTTATTAGTTAATGCATGAGAATTAAATGAACCTTTGCAATACAAAATGTATAAATGTTGTTTAAAAAACAAGGCTCTCTTAATTTCATGTTTTCTAGCCAACAAGCTTTCACCCTTAGATTCTTCCTTGGCCTTTTTAGTTTCATTTTTAGTGTGTTTTTCCTTAACCTTCATTTTAATTTGATCTTCTAGGGATCCTATGGGTTTAGATTATTTATCCCTCTTAACCTTCATTTTAATTTGATCTTCTACTACTTGCCTATGTGTTAATAAGTGTAGAAGATGCTTCTTACTATTATCAGTAAAAGAAAGGATGTTGGTAGAGCTATCATGATGGACCTTCCTATCAAATTATCATGGCCTACCTAAGAGAATATGACCCACTTCCATGGGAACTACATTACATAAAACCTCATTTTCATATTTCTCAATGGAAAAAGTTACCCTAACTTGTTTATCAACTAAGAGTTCACCCTCTTGGTGTAGCTATTGAAGCTTATATGGTTTAGGGTGAGAAATAGTGGCAAGGTTAAACTTACTCACTAACCTTTAGGAGGCACAATTGGTACAAGAACCTCCATCAACTATTAGGGAACACAAATTTTCTAAGACATAGCATCTAAAATTAAAAAATATTTTCTCTTTATGAGTCATCTAACTCACGGCTATGGCTCTCTAATAACCTCTTAACTACTAATAAGTCACCCTTATTACCCCTAAGGTCTTCATTAGAACTAGAGTGTTCACTTTTACTTGAGGAGGAGGAAGAGGATGAAGAATCCTTACTAGTACTAGTATAACAATCCCTACCTTTTAGTATCGTAGTTTTCTTTGTAAGGCATTGGGATGCAATGTGACCCCGTCCCAAACACTTAAAACATTTGATTGAACTACTCTTTTCCTTTTCTTGTTTTTGAGTGTTCCTAGCGGTTTGAGGATTGTTTGTATTAAAACCTTTTTTTTTGTTTTTCTTGAGGATTTTGTGTAAGTTCTTTCCTAGCCTTGTAGGACATATTCCCCTCTTATTTTTATCCTTCCACCTTTGGTTGGAAAATTCTCCTTTAGAGGAATATTTCTTACTTCTTCTTTCTTGGAGTTGTGCCTCAACCCTAATGGCTAAATGCACTAACTCATCTAAATCCACATGGGGAAATAACTCAACCTCTCTTTCTATATCTCTATTTAGGTCATTCACAAATCTCATCATAGTTATTTCATTATCCTCTTGTACATTAGTCCTAATTAGAGAAAATTCTAAGTCTTTATAGTAGTCATCTATACTTTTCAACCTTTGGTTTAGTCTTTGGAGTTTAGCAAGTAACTCACTCCTAGTATGTAGAGTCATATCTTTTTCTAAGTAAGACCTTGAACTCATCCCAATCATCAATGGGAGGTAAGCCTAACCTATCTCTTTCTTTACAAAAATTGGTCCACCACACTAGGACATAGTTTTGAAATGATAAGGTAGCTATCCTAACCTTCTTTTCCCTAGTAATCCTATGGCTATTAAACACTTGTTCAAGCCTCATCACCCATTCAAGATAGGCTTCTACATCACTTTTGCCATGGAAAGGTGACACTTCCATTTTAATTTCCTATAGTCTAAATTCATTTTCTCTATCTCTTTTTGGTCTTCTTTCTTCTCTATGGTTTCTTCTCCTATGACCTTCACTTCTCTCAGTCCTCTCTTCCCATCTATCCCTCTCTTGTCTTCTATTTCTCTCTTCTCTATGCTTATCATTTCTATCACAACCACTTAATGAGACATCTCCTAAATTTTGCCTCTCTAATCTAGCTCTCATTTCTTCCCTTTCTTTTCTCACGTCATCCCTTATTTTAACAATTTCAGTCGTAAACCTTGCAATTTTAGGAGATGGTGGAGGACTAACTTCCCACTATGCATATCTATGACTTTTTGATTTTAGTAGAGGTTAATTCTAGCGCAAGCTACACCCTAAAAATGAATCACTAATCTTTTTAACCTAGATCGTGACACTAAACTATTACCAATTAAGAGAAAGCAATAAAAGAAAGCTAAGCTATCATGCTAGTTAGTTTCTAGAAAGAAATAAAACAAATAGAAGGAAGAAGAAGAAAGTGTGAAATCTTACTTCACAATCCAAAAATACAAGCTAAGCTAGCATGCATACTCTATATGGTCTTATAAGTAAGTAAAACAATTTATGCAATATAAAATCCTAACTAAGCATACTAGTCGGTGTGCAAAAAATAAACTAGCAACCTATGCGTGATTACCCTAAATAACTAGGCCAAATAGGGCCAAAAGTCCAATGTTCGATGTCTAATTATAAAAAATTCAAAACCTACTACAAAGTTTTACAAAAAATTGAAAATTGAAAATTTTCAGCCCCAACAAATAAAAGAAAAGTCTCCAAATACAAAGAGATTTGAAATACACAAAATGAAAACCCCAAGCTAATGTATTACAAGGCTTTGCTCTCCAATACAAAAGCTTTCCAAGAAGTGTAGCTTTAAGTCACCAAGTATCAAAAGACAAGAAATGGTTAGGGAAAACAACAATTAATATGTGAATCTTGGACCAAGGACCTCACAACTCTTCTCACGTGTTTCACTAAAACTCAACTTGTGTTTACTCTCTTTTTTGACCTTTTCA